TGTGAGTAACGATCCAAGAGCGAGTCTTATCCGACATTATTCCGATGATATCCCGGACGTCAGTCTGAGCGAGATTAGAATGGCTCTCCAGCACCTTAAAAACGGCAAGGCCCCAGGCGAGGATGGAATTACAGCGGAGCTTCTGAAAGCGGGTGGAAAACCGGTACTTGAAGTCCTTCAGAAGCTCTTTAATTCCGTCCTCCATGGTGGCATTACACCGGAGGCGTGGAGCAGAAGTGCGGTGGTCTTGTTCTTCAAGAAAGGCGACAACGCTCTCTTGAAGAACTACAGACCGATTTCCCTTCTGAGCCGCGTCTACGTGCTGTTTTCGAGAGTCATTACGAATCGTCCCGCGCGCAGACTTGACGACTTCCAGCCTCCCGAACAAGCCGGTTTCCGAAAAGGCTTTAGCACCATAGACCACATACATACCCTTCGGCAAATTGTACAGAAGTCCGAGGAGTACAATTTGCCACTATGTCTGGCGTATGTGGACTATGAGAAAGCCTTTGATTCCGTCGAAATTTGGGCGGTGCTATAGTCCCTTCAGCGATGCCAAGTTGACTGTCGGTATATCGAAGTGTTGAAGTGCTTGTACAGTAGGGCTACGATGGCTATCCGAGTACAGAACCAGAGTACGAAACCTATCCAATTGCAGAGAGGTGTAAGACAGGGTGACGTCATATCCCCGAAACTCTTTACCGCTGCATTGGAAGATGTTTTCAAGCTTCTGGACTGGAAAGGATACGGTATCAACATCAATGGCGAGTACATCACTCACCTTCGATTTGCCGACGATATAGTCCTTATGGCAGAATCGCTGGAGGACCTAAGCACTATGCTCAATGACCTTAATAGTGTTTCCCAACGGATAGGTCTTAAGATGAACATGGACAAAACAAAGATCATGTTTAATGTCCATGTCACACCTATGCCGGTAGTTGATGGGAACACTAAGCTCGAAGTTGTTGACGAGTATGTTTACCTGGGACAAATAGTCCGACTAGGTAAGTCCAACTTCGACCGAGAGGTCAATCGACGGATTCAACTCGGTTGGGCAGCGTTCGGGAAATTACGGCACATCTTCTCGTCAGGTATACCTCAAAACTTGAAAACGAGACTGTACACCCAGTGCGTGTTGCCAGTGATGACATACGGAACTGAGACGTGGTCCTTCACTGCTGGCCGGATGAGGAAGCTCAAGGTCGCTCAGCGAGCTATGGAGAACGCTATGCTCGGAGTTTCTCTGCGTGATAAACTCAGAAATGAGGATATCCGCAGTAGAACTAGAGTGACCGACATAGCCCAACGGATTAGTAAGCTGAAGTGGCAATGGGCCGGCCATATAGCTCGAAGAACCGACAACCGATGGGGAAGAAAGGTTCTCGAGTGGCAGCCTCGTACCGGCAGGCAAAGTGTAGGGCGTCCACTAGATGGAGTGACGACCTGGTAAGATATGCAGGAAGTCGATGGATGCAGGTGGCTCAGGACCGTGCTTTGTGGCATTCTTTGGGGGAGGCCTATGTTCAGCAGTGGACTTGTGAAGGGCTGTAATGATGTATAATGATGATGATGATGATGATGAATAAACACTTGGTCTCTCTAATGGATGCCATACACGATCTAGTTTACATAAAGACCACTCACGTTCAAGTTCGCCTTCTAGTTTGCATGATGCTGAAAAGTTGAAAAAGATGTGTCCTGTCCAGTTTTAAGGGGACCTCCCACCCTCCCTCAATCGCGCACACTATACCCGTCGCCGTGAACCGTAGCACTACCACCCCCAGCACCACCACACTAGGTTCGACACACCACTCTCGAAAATACGATATGTGTTTCGCCTCTACACGAGGCATCCTCAGGTGAAGAAGACTCTGCGGAGGCTGGCCGCTAAGACACTTGTATAGTCATACACCGTCAAGTTTACCGGACGCCGCTTCAAGCGCGCTGCAAACTTGACGGTAAATTGGATTGTCTGTGGCATCCATAATGTTGGATGTAAACTTGTTTGCAATGGACGTATGACCCTTCCTTGACTAAGAAAGTAATTAACCCTTTCTGCGCTACAAATAATACTTTTGCAGCAGTGAACCTCTGCCATGTATACTAACTACTTGGAAATGCAAAAGTGCTTAAATACGGAGCAGCAGGTTCAAACCCAGCACGGAACTAGAGTTTATATGATCTATGAATGTTCTTGGTCTGAATGTTTGTCCATTAGCAATTTACAGGTAACTTTAAGAAAATACAGTCATTGCTCACTCCAGTAGGAAGTTTTAGAGATAATCACTTCCATTCTGTTTCTAAATGTTTTCATACTTAATTGTATAAATTATTATATTATAAATTAATGTTATAAAAAAGTCCCGTTGGGTTTCTTGCTAGTTCTACCCAGGGAATAGGTTTTTTCCGAACCAATGGTAAAGCTTAAATGACTTTCTATTAGTGTTCTTATGTGGTGGAACCAGCCTGCAACTATATTATAGTTGTAGCACGAATGGGTTGGCTTGACTGAGAAGGGACCATGCTCTCACAGAATACCAGCGTGAAATAGCAGCTCAATGCGGCTGTGTTTCATATGGTGAGAGTAGTGATCCGGAAACCTTTTTTACTGGAAATGGGCCATTCTGCCCTAGTCCTCAGGAGTGACAAGGAATTTGCATTTTGATTCTTAATCGAGTATAGATATAGATGTCTATGGGCCACATCATTCACTTATAATCTGGCGGACTGTGTGCTCATATATCAACCGTATTATATACAAAAAAAACTATAATTCTAAAAAGCATTTGCTGTCCGTTATAATGTCCAAATATATGATGAAATTTTTTGTGTTTGCATGAGTCCCTAGATTGTTTAGATTCACATTTAGAATCAGTAGGTGGCTCTGTTATCGAGATCCAGGAATCACCTATTCTTTCTCTTTTTTCTCTCCGGTCGTCAGATTTTTTTTGTAGGATAAGGGTGACAAACGAGCACACAGTCCAACTGATGGTAAGTGGTTGCTGCGGCCCATAGACATCTACATCTATCCTCTATTACAAATCAAAATGTAGATGCGTTGTCACCCGTGAGGACTAAGATGGAATGCCTCATTTCCAGTAAAAAGGGCCTCCTGCCACCTGCACTCACCAAGCGAAACGCAGAGGTAAACCTCTACTTCACGCTGGTTTTCTGTGAGGTCGTGGTACCACCCCGGTTCGAGCCGGCCCATCCGTGCGACAGCAAAAGCTGCCGCGTGGCTCTACCACTGTTAAAATTTTGATTGTTGTCCCATCAGAATATGATGATAATAAAAGAATACAGAGTGCACCTGTGCTTGCGCATACACTCAGGCAATATAATCCTGTCCTGCGCAGATGGCTAGTCTGTTGAGACAGGCCATTGTGACCAAAATTCAGTCCGGAGGACATTATTATCACCTCATACAACAAAGTTCAGTATTTGATGTAACCATTATATGCATTTTAAATTAAGGTTTTAAGTTAAGGTAACATTCAGTTCCTAAGGTTCTCTTTTTAACTTGTTTTTGCGTACATTTATTTTATGTCAGGGCTGCTAGTACATCTTACACCTACCCTTATTTTTGTAAATGACCTTATAGAAAATTTGATTTATCACCCCTGAATTTTTCTAAAACTAAATTAAGTTTCCTTAGATAGAAAATTATTTACTTTTAATTTATTACTTAAAAATTATGTACAAACATTCTTGTTTAATTATACATCATGAAATATTATACATCATCATCATCATCATTACAGCCTTTCATAAGTCCACTGCTGAACATAGGCCTCCCCCAAGGAATGCCACAAAGCACGGTCCTGAGCCACCTGCATCCATCGACTTCCTGCATGTCTTACCAGGTCGTCACTCCATCTCGTGGGGGGTCGCCCTACACTTCGCCTACCGGTACGAGGCTGCCACTCAAGAACCTTTCTTCCCCATCAGTTGTCGGTTCTTCGAGCTATATGGCCGGCCCACTGCCACTTCAGCTTACTAATACGTTGGGCTATGTCGGTCACTCTGGTTCTACTGCGGATATCCTCATTTCTAAGTTTATCACGCAGAGAAACTCCGAGCATAGCCCTCTCCATAGCTCGCTGAGCGACCTTGAACTTCCTAATACGGTCAGCAGTGAAGGACCATGTCTCAGATCCGTAAGTCATCACTGGCAACACGCACTGGTTGTATAAATTCGTTTTAAGGTTGAGGGTTGTCTGACAAGAACATGTGTCGTAGTTTCCCGAACGCTGCCCAGCCGAGTTGAATCCGTCGATTGACCTCTCGGTCGAAGTTGGACTTACCTAGTCGGACTGTTTGTCCCAGGTAAACATACTCGTCAACAACTTCGAGCTTAGTGCTCCCAAATATTATACATATAATATAATAAAATATTATACAATATATTATACAGATTTACTTCAATACAAAGAAATCTTGAATTCTTATACAATAAATTATTATCAATTGAATTATTACATTATTATTACATCCTTAAATATTATGTATGTGAAAATAAACCAATTCAAAGTAATAAGGATTTTTTATTTTAGTCATAAGGTTGAAAATTGGTGAATTTGTTTTATTTAAGTGTGCTTTCAATTAATTAAGCTTGCTTGTAGGGCCTTATCTAGCTAATCTACTTAGGTTTACAATACAGTTATAAACAAAATCCTTATGTAATCCTGTCATAGAACTTGCTTTGGTTATGACCAAAAAAATTAAACAAAGGATACCTATGAAATCTTTTTTCACCATTTCTTCTCTATTCAGAGTAACCTAATTATAAAACCATTACTGACATTAAATTATCAGGATGTGATATTTTATTTTTACATATCCTAAAACAAGTCTTAAAAAGTTTTCATTTCAACACAAAAGTGTATGAATATGACACTAATATTTCTCCACATCTTTTAAATATATTTTTTTTTTCTAGACTCACCCTTAACCCAATTACAATGAAGTTCCAAATTAAATCCTCATGTAGTACAATATTAGGTCTTTTTAGGCTGCATGCCAGTTGCATACTTCTCAGTAAACCATCTTGCATTTTCTTTAAACTTTTCTTTATAAAACTTGTATTCAATGGCCGCATCCATCATAAGAGGGTCATCTGGATTTGGGTTAGATAGGAAAGACTGAACAGAAACCAAGAGGGTCTCTAATGTGATGGTTGGAAGCCATGTCCCTTTCGGTGGCATTTTTAACATGTCCATACAAATTCTGCCTTCTGAAACCCAAAAATTATAAGACTATTAATCTAGGCATTAAAAATTAATGAAACAGGGATTTAACAATTTTATTGCCAACAGATTATTTTATTTATTTATTTCAACACACAACTATCTTTACAGGTTATACTAAGACAATAGTGTAACTATTATATTTATTACTAGCTGTGCCCCGCAGTTTCACCCGCGTATTATTTAAGGAATTACTTATTTATTAATTGATTTATAGTACTTCAGTATAGACAATATTTTTAGTAACCTTTTCATTTGTTATTAAAATATATTGGTTTTCACCGCATCCTGTTCAAGATAAGCCAACATAAAACTGCCAAACTGAAAAACAGCATTCACTTAAATCTATCTCCTCGTGCTTGAAAGTCTGTCCCTGTGCTTTATTTATAGTGACTACAAATTATATTTTTATGAGAAATTGTATTCTTTTGAGAAAACTAAATGGTAAATCTGCAGGTATTAGAGGAATTCGAGGTATCAGTACCGTTTGCCCAACTGCTGGCCCAGTCAAAACTATAGCAACTATAATATTATTTATAAGAAATTTAATTTGAAGCCTAGTTCCGTTACATAGACTTGGTGGCCACAGGTTTTGTAATAAAATAATGGGAGTGACACTTTTTGAACTAAGTTGCGCAAAATGACAGCTCACTTATATAGGCGTTCACTGCAGATGCAGATGCGTTCTGGTTCCTTACAGATCTCATCGGGCGGCTAGAGTTTATGCGATCGTTTGCACTCCGAGCAGAGTGCTTATAATATTAATTTTTCATTATCTCTTAAACTATGCCTCCAAATAACATGCTGTAAAGACCAAAGTTATAACGCTCATAAATCACTTCTTAATTTTCAATATTTTTTTGCCACAAAATAACTTATTGTGGCTTATGTATAAGAAATAGGCATATGGTAGCGGGGAATTTTTTTTAGGTGGGGCAAGGACCAATATTTTTGTAGAACATTGTATTTATGTAATACTAAATATTACGCCAGCGCACGCAGATAAAGCAGTTAGAGAGTTCCTTTTCTTCCGACGTGCTTTTGCTGTTTGCTGTTTAACAAAAATCAATATTTAAGGCTAGCTGAGAGCTATAGGCTAATGCTAGATAGCCTATACTATTTCTCATGAATCTGGCTATTATATACAAAAATAATTTTTCCAATTGGACTGATAGTTCCAGAGATAGCTGCGTTTAAACAAACAAAAAAACTTCCGCTTTATTATATTAGTATAGATTATAAACAATTATCTTTTAAAACTAGATACATAACAAATAATGTATAATGCTAGCCTTGTGAACTCGCTCAGTGGATAACAAAAGACTTCCAGTCCATTTTTCTTGCATTTAAATTAAATGTGCAGAGGGGCGCCTGACGAATTAAATTTCGTTTCACATTAGTTATTTAAAATTAATATATATATATATAAAAATTACGTGTCACGTTGTTTGTCCGCAATGGACTCCTAAACTACTGAACTGATTTTTTTTAGCACAGAGTAGGAAAATTATATAGCATCAAATTGTGTCACAATAATTTACCCTTTAAATGTGTTATGTTCAATAAGAGTTCGTAACTTTTTTAGGCTACCCATGGACATATAAGATTTTATACGTCCATGAGGTTACCTATACTTTAATGTCTAAAAATTTAGAGCCATCAAGATACAATAATCATGCATACATTATTCACTAATAATGCCTACCTTTATCAATGTTGGGATGATAAACTGGTGTAACAAATTGCACAAATGGAGGTTCAAATGGGTACCGTTTTGGAATGGTAACAGTTAGTTCAAATGAACCCTTCTCATATGGTGACCCTTTAGGACCCAGCATATTTACAACCAAGACATCATAGACGTCCTCCTTTTGGGGAATGCAAGTGATTCCCCATGGAGATTTTTTTTCAAAATTTTTAATTTCACGTGTTATGCGTACATTACGTGCACTGGACATTTTTGAAAGACTTTCCATTGACGTCAGTCGAATTTGCTGTTGATACGTATTTTTACAGAAAGATTACATTTTTATAAGCACACACACAAAGTTTCAATATGCGGAAACAAGTACTTATTGAGAAAAAAATATTGTAAATCAAATAATTTTGCAATATTTAGTCAATTCCTACCGTGAAACTGACACCATTTGTATTATTATTGCACAAACTATATAGAAACACTACGCGTTTATTATTGTCAGTAGGGATGTCGATTCTTTCCGAAAAAGATCGATTTTTTAAATAGATTCGAACTGTAAGCTGATGTATCGATTCCCAAAAAATCGATTTCTAAAATATCGATATTTTTTTCATGTTTACATTTATAATGGAAAATCCCCTTCATCATACAAAAATAAGGGGACTGATTCAGAAGGATTTCTGTATCTATTTTGAGACTGCTACGTCTCCGGCGCTATAAAATCACTCTAGGGGTAGGACAGACTCGTACCAGGTGGAGTCGGGGTCAATCAATTCGGTTCTTTGACATAAGTTGAACCTAACCTATTTTATTTGTTATCTGCCCTAATAGGTACTGTTAAATAAAACAAATTTCAATAAGAGATCATTTATCATGGTATCTTTCTTGTTTTTCATAAAATGGGTTTATATTTACATTATAAATAGAAACATTAAAAAAATATAGATATTTTAGAAATCGACTTTTTGTGAACCGATACATCAGCTTACGATTTGAATCGATTTAAAAATCGACCTTTTTCGGAAAGAATCGACATCCCTATTGACGTCGACAATGACATTACAAATTGGCGCCAGTTTTATGGTAGGATTAGACAAACATTGCAAGAATAATTAATTTTCAATCATTCTTTTCTCAAAAATTACGCATTTCCGCATGTTGAAACTTTGTGTGTGTGCTTATAATAGTGTAACTTTTCTGTAAAAATACGTATCAACACCAAACTCGACTGATGTCAATGGAAAGCTAAGCCTACATTTTTACTGGACAAATTTTCCCAGTACAATATTCATGAATTAAGTGATTATAAACAGTCCTAACGAAGTAACACTTAATAATTCTCTCAATATTTTTTTAAATAATTCAATTTTTTTCAACCATATTAAATATCTGTGTCTGATTTCCAATTATCACATTATTAATATTACCGCCTATTTAATAAAAACGATTCAAAATTTACAGTAGTTTAGTTTACACGTATATCAGGGGTAAGACAATTCCATATATTGACAGATTTGGGGTTTTTTTTTGCAAAATGTGACATCTGTTATCCCCATCCAAAATAATTAGTTACTTCATGTTACCGCAGGGATTAGTGGTGACGGGGATAGTGCACGCAATTGAGGGAGGGCGGAAGGTGCTCTTCAAACTAGGTAAGACACATCATTTTATTTTATCTAGCGGATGTACGCAAAGTAATTTTTTGTCAAATTTAGTACCAGGGTGCGTTCGTAGGCTGACGACAGAAGTGGTTTTGAACTATTTGAAGTTCGTTAATGATTTTGGGATTAGCGTGAGCAAATATGGGGCTCGCGTAAGTCATAACTGGTCTTATACAGACCTTATAAAAGGGTTCGCTTGTATCGCAGGGACATTTTACTGTGTCGTCCCAGCATACTGTTGAGCCTACTCAGATACAAGCGCGCTTTGCGAGTTACTCTTTTGACATGAGGCCCAAAGGTGAGCCTCGTGTCAAGGGTGACACCTAAGTATTTGGCGGTCGTATGCCAGGCGACAGGGGTCCCTAGCATACGGATTGGCGGAATGGTAGGGGGGCGGCGTCGTTTATGATCGAAGGGAACGGCGGAGCTCTTTTCCAGGTTCACATCGATAGGCCATTTTCGGAACCAAGCTCCTAAGCCATTAACTGACTTGGATTTTGTTCCGTATGAAAGGTACGGAGACTACGTAACAATAAACGTCCCCCGAAACGTCAGCAGCGTGGTCGGTGTTGTCGGGATAGTGAGTGACACCAAGGGGACTGTGGACGGTAAGGTCAAGAGACTGCGTGATATCAAGCAGTTTCTTGCCACTCTGAGAAGTAGTAATGCAGGTCCATTCAGTATGCTTGGAGTTAAAATCTCCAAACATAATAACTGAATTGCCTAATGCAAGGACAGTCTCAAAATCTTTTTTGAGTGGGAGGGTTCCACTAGGAATGTAGCAAGAGACTATGACGATGGACTGATGTCTAGTCAAGGCTAGCCTGCATACCGTGGCTTCCATATTGGTAAGCTGCAGAGTAGGGATGTGGGAGCAATGAAGTGTCTTCTTGTAATAAATGGCAGTACCGCCGCCTTTTCGGTCAGGTCTGTCGAGAATACTTTTGGATGGAAAGGCCTTTGAGGTCCTTAGTTTTGAGATTGGTCTCCTGGAGGAGGAGGAGTTCGGCTTCGCCATTTCGAAGAAAGAGCTTAAGCTCGGGAAGGTTATTTCGCAACCCGCGTATTAAAGGACACAAGCGCTAAGACCTTAGGCTTAATACGATCGTGAGACTTTGGGAGAGCAGAGTGCTCTGCGTTAAGTTAAATTAAATTAAATTAACTTAACTTACAATGAGGACAAAAGGTTGTGGTGCTCAACAAGAGCAAGGAGACGGTCATGAGTGGACTGAGCAGCGCACACTTTGCATGCTAATATGGCAATCTCGCCAATGTTGATGCTCCGAATAGCTGCATACACCGTATTCAGGTCATCAACCATTGAGGGTTGTGCCTGCTGTGGGGCGGAGGATGTCCGCAGGGGTTGGCCTTTTTGGGGCCCCAGGGGAATACTGGAGACCTTGAAGGCTGAGAAAAGCCCGGTGGAGGCCGAAGAGGGCAAGGGAGGCGAGGACTGCGGCGAGAGCCGCCTCGTCCAGGTTAATGCCCAGACCTTGGGATTAGTTCAGTGCGGCTACGATTGACCTAATCAAGTTTAGTGTGGACATGTTGGGGGGAGGGGACAACGTTCTATTCTTGAAAGTAAGGGGGGGGAACTTTGTTCTCAAAAGAACAAGGGCTTGTTCTGAAAAGAACAAGAGAAGTTCCAAGAAACGGTAATACAAATACAAAAAATAGCAAATGACAAAAACAGAACAAATAACAAAAACAAAAACAATAAGCAGTCAAACCTCCTTATCAGGAGGCACGGGGGCAAGAGCGGTATGAGAAGGCAAGCAAACTCACCGACGGCGACTGCTCTGCTCCGCGTGAACAGGAAAGCCAAGGTGCGAGAGCGGGAGGGCACTCAGCGTACGGGGACGAGAGCGCGGTCTACTTACACAACCACTCGAGAGCAACGGCGCAAGCGGAATTGCGATCTCTCTTTGTAATGCTACACATTAAGTACTTACATTCGGGTACTCAACTATTGCTGGCCACAGTAAGACACTATTATTGGGTTTTAGGAGGCATAAATCTAGCTAAACGTACTATCCACTCATGTGTCAAATGTTGTAGACTTAAAGGAAAAATATTTCAACCTGTTATGGGTAATTTATCTGAACACCGTACCTATTTACAATTTCCTTTTCTTGATACGGGTATAGATTATGCTGGGCCAGTGATGATAGCCAACCACAAGGGAAATAAATCTTATATTTGTGTGTGTGTGTATGTGTGTGTGCGTTTTTATAAGATAGGGTGACAAACCAGCACACAGTCAACCTGATGGTAAGTATTTGCTGTGACCCATAGACATCCACATCTATTCTCAGTAAAGAATCAAAATGCAGATGCGTTGTCACCCGTGAGGACTAAGATGGAATGCCTCTTTTCCAGTAAAAAGGGCCTTCGGTTCTCTACACTCACCATACGAAACACAGCAGTGTTAAGCTGCTATTTTACGCTGGTATTCTGTGAGTATTATTTGTTTGTTTAGCAACAAAGACCTTGCATCTTGAGTTTGTTTCGGACCTGACGAAGGAAGCTTTTATAGCAGCTCTGAATAGATTTATATCCCGTAAAAGTAAACCGCGAATCATCTATTCTGATAATCGAACTACATTCGTAGGTAGATTTCATGAGTTATCTGGACTTTCACCGGCAGACATAACTGAGCAAGGTATTAATTTCACTTTTATTCCCACATATACTCCTCATTTTGGCGGCTTGTGGGAGTCGGCTGTGAAATCTGTAAAACATCACCTGTGACGTGTTTTAAATCTGACATTTCTAGATTACGAAGAAATGAATAGTTTATTAATTCAAATAGAAGTCATATTAAATTCCGGCCCACTCCTTTATCTAATGACCCCTTGGATCTTTATCCTTTGGCTCCAGCCCATATTCTTATTGAACGGTCTCTCATTTTTGTACCAAAATCCCAGATCAGTACCAGCAAAATATTATCCCTCGCAAGATTCCACAGAATCCAACTGTTGAAACATCATTTCTGGAATCGATTTTCTAACGAATATATCACTTTACTTCAGCAGAAGACAAAATGGATGCAATCATTATGGTACACTTAAGGAAGGACACTTGTCATCATAAAAGGCAAGTCCAATCCAACCATCATGTGGCAACTTGGGCGAGTCCTTCGAGTGCTGACTGGAAGGGATGGAATTGCCAGAGTCACTGACATCCGTACAAGGAAAGGAATAATCATTGAAGATGTCTTTTCAACGCCGGGAGTATATGGTGAAGACAAGGTTGTGCGTGACGTCACTGCATGAACATGCGTTACGTAGTTTTAGAAGCGGGGGAGGGGGGAATGGGACGGCAAGATGTGGGAGCGGTTGGCCAGTCGAAAGAACGATTTCGCTACGTTATCTATCGCACGGTTACATCGGGCGGGTTAACTCTGTAGCACTTAATAAACCGATTCAGTACAGTGCAAGTTTAATTTATTCTCATCAGGGTTTCAGGCAGTTCTCCCTATCAAAAGGTGTACGGGGCACTGTCCCCAACAGGACGATGTTGGTTTATGATTGGGTATTGTTACCAATCATCATGTCCCCCCTGTTGAGGTTTTTTTGAGCTATCTAACTGCTGTCCG